TTCTCACCGAAAAAAGTTGCTTTCAAAAATTCTGAACAATCTTTTTTCATGGATCACACCATGAAAAATTTCTCGACAAACCATCGGCTGGTCGCAAATCCTATCAAAAACCGAATCACGCTTTATGAGTCTGGAAAGTTGCAGATTGTTCATTTAATGACATACCTGCTATGCTCATGTAGACGAGGGGTAATTTACTGGAGTTGGTACCGGCTTGGTGAAGAGTTACGAAAACCTGAGACGAAAAGCCGCTCAAGAATTTCCCAGACAGAACGGCGGCTCTCACGTAGCCCGTTATTTGGTTATAAGTCGTTTTGTCCTCAATTTTAGCGTACATGTAGGTGTAGAGAACGGAGTCGGACGAATAGAAAAACGCGAAGAACATTTGTTCGACCTAAAATTCAAACAACTTTGAAAAAAGAACTAAATGATTAAAAATAATCCATGAAGTGAAGCATTAAAATCGTTAAAATTTATTTAAAATAAAAATACGCGTACGTTTAACTCTTGCGTTTACGGCTTACGCTTTAATTCTTGGCCTGTTGATTTTTCATTCTAGATATCTACAAACACACAACTTAAAATTTACTGAGCGTATGAGTAACAAATATTCTAAAAAATTGAAAAAAAATGAGTAACGAAGATAAGACTTTAAATCCCTCCAGCAGAAGAAATTTTATCTCACAATAAATAACAATCAAGATAATCAGAATATCGACGAGGCATTCCTCTAAGACCAAGAAAATATTAAGGAAAAAATGTCAAGTTCACTCCTAAAAACATAATTTTAAATTAATATTAATCTATAATTATTTATATTTACCCCCAGAACCAAAGAAAATCAGCAAAAAAATTCGCCGATATACCGTGCTACTGTTTAGGGAGGGAGAACATGAGACAGCCGGTAAGTATAAAGATTCCTCCAAGCTAATTGAGATAGCTGGTAAATTTCTGGATTCGCCTTAAGCTATGTAATATTGTCTCGTCAGAGAGGGGAAATATTTCAGAGGGGGTGGGGGAGTTTCGAATATGGGATTTAATGTGCTGATAATCACCTGGATCATTTGAAGGGACGGTCTCCCGATCAGAAGAACGTAAGTCATGACTCCCGCAACTCCATCAGCGATGACAATAGGTTTGTAGCGCAATAAATCCGTCACCAAAAACACAACGATAACGAGAACTAAACTGGCGTAAGTCGAGATCACCAGGATATCTTGAACGACCTAAAGAACCGAGGAACACAGTCTAGAAAACTTTTAAAAATGTTGGGCTGCCTTCTGGTAAGTCCAGAAGAAGAGCACTGTGCAATGGTAAAACACTTTTTCTAAACACATTGAAAAAAGCGGTAGAAAAATCAATTAAAAAATCGGGTTTTCAGATCGGTTTTTGAAGAAAGAGCCTCCCACAATTTCGCCCCTTTTTCGGTATTCGATTCGACCATATCGAACCAAGGTTTAAGTGGAAGCTCATAATAACAGAAAACTTAGGAAAAAAGTTCAAGATGGGTACAGGAACCGTTTTCGAGTTACGGGTGGGCAAAGGGGTCGAACTCCGGCCTTATTCTTCGCTATTTTCTTGTTGAATTGGTGTGTCTACGGGGTTGATATCGTTGTTTACGCATGTATTACACACCGGTTCTTACGTATTTCAAGAAGCAAAATCTAGTCTCAATGTTGACGAGTCGATAAATCGATCGGTTAAATCGAATTTTTAAGATTCCTTAACCCTAGTCTGCCTGAGCCTCTGAACCAACGAGAAAGCCTGAGCGGGGTCAATTTGACCCCAGCTGAAAATCAATTAGTTAGCTATGTTTTTTTCAAGTTTTTAGTTAATATCAGTGCACTAACCTTACATGCCTTAACCATAAAGCATATCTAAGTTTTGAAAAACACGGCGCAGGGTATGCAACCATTTTATCATACACATGTTGCCATGTTGTTCTCAGCATGAGAAATAAAAATCATAGGGCTACTAAATACTGAAAACGAAAAAAATCTGAAAAATTTTGCTTGTTTTATAAGTTTCTGAAAAAAATTAAAAAGAGAAAAATGAATACACCTTCAAAGTAAGGTTTTGTGATGCTAAATGGTGAAATATATGTTATAAGGATATCTGACCCCGCTCAGGCTTTCTAGGGGTACTCGTGAATTTTTGATCTCTCATGCACATTTTTTTTTTTCCCCCCTTCAAAATCGTGTTCCTCGATGTTTTTGTAGAGCTATTTGTGAAGGACAAAAAATTTCGTGCATACCACGAGAAATGGCAAAGAGTTGAAACTCCCGTGGGGTCAATCTGACCCCACTCAGGCAGACTAGGGTTAGTAAATCGACGATTTTTTGAGGTTGACATTGTTCATTTTCGATTCATGGATGACTAAATGCATCTAATATGACTGTAGTACACCGAAGCCTACGTATTTTTTCTTATAGAATCGATTTTTAACTTTAACGAGTCGATATATCAATCGCTTCTATCGAATTTTTGCAATTTTTTTAGGAAAATCAATAATATATTAGTATTGAAATTGGTTAATCTCCATCCGGGAACAACCAAATTTTGGGTTTGGACAAATTTCCGGTCGAGTCGATTTCCAGTTCAGTCAAGTTTTCGATTGGGGCACATTCCCGGTAAAGTAGAAATTTAGATTTTCGATTTCCGGTCAAGTGAAATTTCGAATGGATAACGAATCCCGTTGATTGTGGTTTCCGGTCGGTCAGATTTCCGATCGAATCAAATTTTCAGTCGAGTCAAATTTTCGACAGGGACACGTTACCGGTTGGAATCAGTTTCCAGTTGGGTTAATTTCCGGTCACGTCAGATACGGATGGATTACGGTCCCAGTGAATTGGAATTTTGGGATGGGTCAAATTTCAGGTTGTATCGAATTTCCAGTTGGGTCAAGTTTTCGATTGGAGCACGTTTCCGGTCAGGCAGGGTTTACGGTTGTCGATTTCCGGTTAAGGAAAATTCGGCCGGACGATTGGTCGATTGATTTGAGTTTCCGGTGGGTAAGATCTCCGGTTGAGTACAGTTTTGGTTAGCATTGTTAGATCAGGTTTTCGGTTGAGTAGGATTTGTAGTAAATTTAAGTTTCCGGTTAATTTAAAGATTTAGTTAAGTGAATCAAGTGTCCCACTTAATTTATTGAACGATCTCAATTTTTTAATTGACGATTTGCGTTGTTCAGGAAGATCATCGATTTTTGAATCCGAGAATTCTGATGAATGCACCAGAAACAAAAAGAGAAACACGCATGCTGATTAGAAGCTGTGATGAAAATATGTGCTGATGATCAAAATAATATTCCTCGGAAATTTTCAAATATGCGGCTCGATTTGAAACCCAAAATTATGAACTTTTTGGTCAAAATCATTCTACGAGGCCACTCAAAAAGGATACAGAAGAGCGCCTTCAAATCAATGCGTAAACTTAATGCGAAATTCTGATACCACTGTTCGTGCATCACGGCAGTCATCTTGCATACCCGGCCATTTGAAGGCGAATCATTGACTTCAGGCAACGGGGTACGAATAACAGGAATGCCATTCGATAAACTCCGGGCAGCGGGGCCGCCCACCTGAACCCTAAGGAGCCGAACGCGGGGGTCAGCCCCCTGAACCCTAAGGAGCCGAACGCGGGGGTCAGCCCCCTGAACCCTAAGGAGCCGAACTCGGGGGTCAGCCCCCTGAACCCTAAGGAGCCGAACGCGGGGGTCAGCCCCCTGAACCCTAAGGAGCCGAACGCGGGAGTCAGCCCCCTGAACCCTAAGGAGCCGAACGCAGGGGTCAGCCCCCTGAACCCTAAGAAGCCGAACGCGGGGGTCAGCCCCGTGAACCCTAAGGAGCCGAACGCGGGGGGCAGCCCCCTGAACCCTAAGGAGCCGAACGCGGGGGTCAGCCCCCTGAGCCGTAAGGAGCCAAACGCGGGGTCAGCCCCCTGAACCCTAAGGAGCCGAACGCGGGGGTCAGCCCCGTGAACCCTAAGGAGCCGAACGCGGGGGGCAGCCCTCTGAACCCTAAGGAGCCGAACGCGGGGGTCAGCCCCCTGAGCCGTAAGGAGCCGAACGCGGGAGTCAGCCCCCTGAACCTTAAGGAGCCGAACGCGGGGGTCAGCCCCCTGAACCCTAAGGAGGCGAACGCGGGGGTCAGCCCCCTGAATGCATTCCAAAACTGCCTCGATTTTTCGTCACTGATTATTCTGTTTTAATTTCAAGCTTTAAGCTCGACTTTCTTCTCTCGGAAAAAATAAAATTCGAGCGGAGATTCTGAAACACCGTAATAGAGTTACGAGGTTTCGCACTACAGCCATCGATATGACGTTTTGCGTCAGCACAGCAGAATTGCTCTGCTGGGGTAAAAGGCCGTATGAACCTTCACACGTTGTCGAATTCCCGCTAATGAGATATGAATTTCCTTTTAAAAAAAATTAGATACCCAATTTTCGGGATTTTCCGCTGTGAAATGTTATTATTTTATTTTTCCCGTGTTTTTCTAGGATGTACTTCCATGGATGTCAGCTGCCAAACCAGCCGGACACGCTATCGATTTGTCGCGGAAATATCATTCCTTCGTTGTGGTCGGTGATGGTGCGATGCATTGTATGGAGAATTTTCCAACGTTTTGGCCGGGTACATTTGATAATTTTATTTTTCGCATGTTTTGAGCATGTACTCACATGGATATTAGCAGTAAAATCAAATTGGCATGAAATGGTTTTCCCATTGGAAACTATTCTCTATTGTAGTTGAAAAATTTATGACCGTGTAAAGAACCAAGAATTTTGCAGAATCTGCATTTCCCGCAGAAAATTTGAATTTTTCACCCTATTTTATTTGCAATTGGATTGCATTTTGCAAAAAGGAACTACTAGTATTGCAATGATGCTAAAATTGTACAACTTCGTCTTTTGCAATAAAATTGCGGAAATAGTGAAAAACTATGAAATTTAGATGGTAATTTTTGTCTTAAATTTACTGTTTTTAGCGAGTAAAATAGAAACTATTAATGGATAATCGGGTTTTTCCTCCAAGACAAAAGAAGTTGCACAATCTTAGCAACATTACAATGCTAGTGGTTCCTTTTTGCAAAATGCAATCCAATTAAATCTTCCATGCCTGAAAATTTTAAGAAAAAAATACATTCAAGACTTTTCTAAACGAGTAAATTATTGTTTCGAGGGAACTTTGGGAATACTCTTACGACTTTTTTTCCTTTTTTTGCGAGGGAGCGCGGGTAAAAGGCCCTTTTTAGGCTTTCCTAATGTAAACAGAGCGCGTTTACCCCTTATGATGCGCACATCCTGCCCCATCGAAATCCAGTATGTGGCACTTACTTGTTTTTCGGTGAGTCCGACATCGGGTCCGATCAAAAACTCAGCGATAAACGGCTCGACCGGTCTGAATTCTCGGGCCATCGCAAACGCACACACAAGTAAACAAATTTTCGCGTTCGAATCCATGCCTCACTTCTCCGGAAACCTGGAAAAAACGCACTCTTGTAGAAATACTGACAGAAATTTCTAATTTTCAACTGATAGAACGGGTGATGTAGAGAACCACGCTTTGAATGCTTGAGAAATCCACGCTTGACGTGACGTGGTCACCACGTCTTTGCGGCGAATGAAAACATAGAGAGAAGAGATAAGCGACAAAAATACTGGACGAAATGTCATATGCGTAAATTATTTAGGCGATACTAGGAAACGTTTAAAAATAATTGATTTTTTCGGCAGAGCGCCAAATTGCGTTTTGTTGACACCTCTCTAAAACCGTATGCTGCTACCGAGCTGATGGCTACCAGGATCGATTAAATGCACTATTTGTACATATTTATGCTGAAAGGAGCTATGTTACACACAAACCCTATGCACATAGTTCCTTTTAGCATAAATATGTCCATTTTATGTCACGCACGTCATTTATATCGTCGGAGCATACATGATTTCGTATAGGGACGCAAACCAACGTTATGGCTTGAAATTTTCTTTGACTCTTGTTTTCCATCCCAGTTTCTCCCATACAAATTCAAGCCACAAGTCGTCGCTCCTGTGACATAATGTGAGCTCTGTTTTACATATGAAGTTATGTTTTTTGGGGCTCATATGGAAATAGAGATACGCCCTTACGTCAGAGGAGCGACAAAGGAAGTTGATTTGAGGGGCTTTGAGGACAAGGCGCATGAGTGTAGATTTTGAAAAATTGAGATATTAATGATTTCAAGGAAAACTGGTCTCAAAGCATATTCTGTGATAAATTAGCTCCCAGATTCCAATTTTTAAGTATCAAAAAGTCAGTTTTAACTTTCTTTCCGCCGTAAGGATTCATGTAATTTTGGAACTTCAAAACGTATCTCTCGAAATAGCAAAAACTGCACTTATGCGCCTTGTCCTCCAAGCCCCTCATTTGTTTTTTCTATACAGAGTACAATATTCACAGACATTACGAAATTCGTTTTTGTTCGTTGCTATTGACAGATGCCATTCAGCCACCTGACTTTGCAGTAAATTCACCCTGCAACAGGGTATAAGAGCAATACTGCGAAAGATATTGCCACCTAATATTGCCAAGGATATTGCTATAGGCAGTGTTGGTTTATCAACGTTGATACACTTTTAGGGCAGTGTCACTCATGAGATTCAATACCTCATTGATATCAATATCGCTAGATAATGTTGACCGGTAAAAGCCATGCCAATGATTAAAACACAGTAGAAATTAACATTCAGGTCGATCAATAGCACCATCACTACATTTACAAATACTGACCTATATCAATACATAATAACCTCTGGCAAAACTGTTTAATGTTTTATGAGTATTGTTGCCCCAACATTGCTGCAACATCCCCTATCAGTTCGACCGGAGATATTGAATCAACTTTGAGGCAATATCCATTTTCAGAGTGGATACCCATTCATTTGTCATTCGATTTACTAAAGTTTCCCCTTCATGTGTGCACTGGGTCAGTTGCACTGTCACAGAAGCATGTTTTGATGCTTGATTCTTGTAGATTAACTAAAATAACAGGATCTGTCCCAACAGCAACTGTCTCTATGAAAATGGGTTAGTTGCACCGGTCTTATATGGAAAATTCAACATAGCAACTATTCGTGCTCCAGGGTAGTGCTGATTGCCTAAACGCAAAATTGCAGGCGTTTTACAGGGTCAAAGAATTTATTCGGTTCAATCGATTGCTGCAATGACCTATGGCAACGAAGTGTGGCGACGGGTTAGTTGCGCTAGTCATGGAATCGTGTTTTGATGCTTGATTCTTGTAGATTATCTAAAAATAATAGGATCTGTCCAAACAGCAACTTTCTACGTTTAAGACCAACCGAAATATCGCGTTTTCAAAAATTCGGTTTCTAAAGTCATCCACCGCGGTAGTGACACCCATGATTTCTTCCACCTTGCTTTGATCAATCAGTGAGAAACACATTTTCAATAGTTACTCAACGTGAAACTCGGATGAGAGTAAGGGGGAAGAAACCAAGTGTATCATTACAGCGGTAGATGACGTCATCGAGTAATAATGAATGTAGAGAGCTGTTTTTCAGACAGATAGTATTTTTTTTTTGGCTGATCTGCAAGAATCAAGTATCAAAACACGATTCTGAGACCAGCGCAACTGACCCATTCGATGATAGTGATACAATCATTCGCCCATAGCTTGAGGACCATCCTCGACAGTCAATAGAAGCAAATAAAGAAACATTTCAATATTATTACTTACTTGCTAACAGGAAAAAAATTCTATTTGTATAAGCTTCATCGAACTAGCTTTGAGGATCTGTGAAGTCCGTTGATCCATCGGGAAACTGGCTGCGGCTATCCACGTCTCGAGATCACTGATATATAAATTCAACTGACCCTACTTTATCTGTTATAGCGTTCAATAATTGTCCACATCTCCAGCCTCACAGGAGTTTATTTTTATGATGTAATTGCCCCTCAAGTTCCCTATCAAATAATTACTCCCGCTCAATCTCAAATGCCAACAATGATAAAACGGATACATACGAGAGAGAACTGGAAAAACTAATCTAGTGATCCATGTCTCGACTTTTCTGTACACGGAGAAAAAAACTTCGTGCGTGGGACCCGAAGTTTAGGGCATATGATCTCTGAAGTTTTCGGATTGAGCATCTGAGCACTTTAGGTCCAGCTGCTGAGGTTTGGATCACACATCTGAAATTTCAGTTCTTACATCTGAAGTACTTCGGTTTTCACAACTGGTTTACTTCAGATGTAAGAACTGAAGTCTCAGATGTGTGATCCGAACCTCGACAGTCAGACCTAAAATGTTCAGATGCTCGCAATCCAAAAACTTCAGAGATCCATATGACCTAAACTTCGGGTCCCACGCACAAGGTTTTTTTCTCCGTGCGTATATCGATTGATCACAAAGATATCTCAAAAATCGGCAGAGTCTATTTATGTGACATTCTTTGCTGTCACGATTCTATTAATATTTTAAGTATTCATTTTTTTTTTACATTTTTCTGTGCGTAAAACAAATATTTATGGATCTCGAGTGCGTACCCGCAAACCCTTCTCTATACGTTTTCTTCGAATCATTGGGATAATGTTCGGACGACAATGACTCTTATAAGAATGAGATAAAAGATAATGTTTTCTTGTAAGAACTCCAAACTGATAAGTCAGTTTGTTCCTTTTGAATCAATGAAAATGTAGTGGAAGTTTGACTGCGACTAATCTGGAGAGGTTGTGAAAAATTTGAATGAGATCATTTTTCCATTTTAAGTATCAAATACCTCTAATATCGTCGGTGAATAAGTGACGACTTTAAACGATCAATAAAATAAGTTCGCCATCTCAGAGCCACTTAGGCAATTTGCTACACCATTTTTATCCAATTTCTTACTGTAAAATTTCAATAAGTGGATTTCCTTCAATTTGTGTGTAGGCAACATGCATGACACTATGACAACTTTGCGGCAATATCCATTTTCAGAGTGGATACCCATTCATTTGCCATTCGTTTTACTAAAGTTTCCCCTTCACGTGTGCGATGGGTCAGTTGCACTGTCACAGAAGCGTGTATTGATGCTGGATTCTTGTAGATTAACTAAAAATAATAGGATCTGTCCAAACAGCAACTGTCTCTATGAAAATGGGTTAGTTGCACTGGCCTCAAATGGAAAATTCAACATAGCAACTATTCGTGCTCCAGGGTAGTGCTGATTGCCTAAACGCAAAATTGCAGACGTTTTACAGGGTCAAAGAATTTAGTAGTACTTCTAGAACTACTAGTGTTTTTCATTTACATGTCAGGCTAGTGATAGGCAAGACAGTCGCGAGTACTATCTTCTGCATGCTTTCGTGGTTACGTTGTGAACAAGCAACAAACACATTTTCAGGTCAGAAATTGGCAGAGGAATGCGGCACTTTACTTGAAAGCACTGTTTTTATTGGTTTTTTGGAGGAATAATATCACTTACTGCTGTATTGATTAAAACTACATCCTTTTTTGCGCACTAACGGCTTTCTCATGTGTCTCTTTTACATACAATTAAGAAGAATCTTGCTGTTTTAGCTATTTCAGTGATTTCATCTTAAAGAAATTAGACGAATTTTGAAGGAAACTCTATTTAAAAAATTTGACAAGGCTCATTTAATATTATGTTGAAGGAGGAGATGAGATGGTATATTTGCTCTACCACAATTATTTTTGAAAAGGAAGAAGGTTCTACCGAAATTTAAAATAAAACGTTTAATTTTGGCACAAACAAAAAACAAAAAAGTAATAAAACATCTAAAAAAATAAACACATGATTACGCAACAACATTGTGATACGAGCCCGTACAATGTACTTCGTAAACTTATTTAAAATTGAGCGATAACAATGTTTTCCACCTTTCTGGTTGTCCAGTTTTTTTCAAGTCGTTCTACATTACAAACCAGAAGTTATTTGACATAAAATCTTACAAGAGAGTTTGAGCTAATAGCCAGCTCATAACACACGCGCGAGTTTGCTTACAAATGAAGTGCCATTAAAATGTTCATCGAATGAGAGTAAATACATTACGTTTATGAAATGCACTTAGCATTCAGACGAATATTTTTCACCATGGTTTAAAATATTTTTTTAAAAAACCAAGTTGCATTAAATTATCACAATGGTGGAAATGAGGATTGAAAATACTGAACCAACGACTTTTACGCTAATGTTTATCATACAGTACTGCTAAATTGCGAGGCACCTTTTGAGTAATTTTACAGACTCATTTGCGGCAACTAGATTTACAATCAAAGTTTGGCAGTGAATTTATCCAGGGTAGACCCTCGAGTTTAAGCAGAGTTCGCCTCTTACATCTCGTAGGACTCCCAAAGACGCACAGCTCGCAATTTGTGTTTTTCATTTCTCCACAATCAAATTCAAATGTTATCGCATGTATGACGTTTAGTCAAAGTTCAAAAGCTCAAAAGTTTTCAAAAGTTCTGGAAACGTCGATTGGGAGTTTCTTGCGTCCAAAACCTATGGAATTTAAAATAGAGGACTCCACTATTAGACGTATATGCTAAAAGGAAGTATGTGCATAGGGTTCGCGTGAAACATAGTCCCTTCTAGCATAAATACGTCCTATTGGTACTCATAATACTTTTGTTTATCAGAGTTGATAGTGGCCTTCATCAAGGTTAGGAAACCAAATGGACCACTAGACAAGGTACGAATTTCAGAATTCTGATACATGTTTTTTAACCAAAATTTCACGTAGAACACGATGCGCACAACAAAAATTACCGAAATCAACTCCTTACGAAGATATTTAATGATTCCTGATGCGTGAATTCAAACCACCCGCTCAATAAAACTCAATGCTCTACGTGATTCACATCGCGCGTTGAATATTATCGCGACAGTCTCTGCAATATGAAAATCTGGCAACCACAATTATGACGCTTTGGCTCAGATATAGCAAATTGCTTATAATTTGAACAACACATGGTGGGAAATGAACAGTGCTCGATTGAGAGGCTTGCTGAAACTGTTGTAGTGCGCGATTTGACTCACGTAGAGCTTTGAGTTTCTTGTGAGCGGGCAGTTCAAAATCCGCGTGACCAATGTAAAATAAAAAGGTTAATATCTTCGTCAGGAGTTAGTTTCAGTAAATTTCGTTGCGCGAATCGTGTTCTACGTGAAATTCTGATTAAGAAATATGCATCAGAATGATTGAATTCGTGCCTTGTCTAGTGGTCCATTGAAGTCTTTTTGCCATCGTCTGGTTTATTTCAGCTCATCTTTGCCCCATATTGAGTACTGAATGGTCCTCAGTAGGTAGTATATTCCGATGGCCAAGAAATATAAAGCGCAAAACTCAAACTGAAACAAAAACAGGGTGATTACTCATCACTATCAAGTTAGGAAATCATTATATAGTTTTAGTTAGCCGGAGAAAACAATTCTACACAACGATACAAAATTTCTCGAGGGGGGGTTGGGGGGAATTGGGAAGGAAAGCCATAGCCAGCCTAGCCGACGGCGGCTCTCTCAGTTTTGCATGAAATTACAATGACCAAAGCAGGAAGACTTGAAAACCAAAATCTCAACCGAGCTTTTGGACTCTCCTCTTTGAAATAAGACTTACAGAAAGAAAAATAATCGTGGAACGAGCAATAATATACTTCGGGCATTTTTAAAACATTTGGCTCGATTGAGGACACCGAAATTCTGAATATTTCTTATCAACATCATTGTACAGAGCCACTCAGATATGATGCACAAGAGCGCCTTCAACCCACTATGTAATCTTAATGCAAAATTCTGATACCACTTTTCGTGCGTCAGGACAGTCATTTTGCATACCCGGCCAATTGAAGGCAAATCATTGACCCAGGCAACAGGGTACGAATTTCAGCAATGTGATGCGTGTTTTTTAGGGAGCAAAACCTCCGGGGCTGCCCCACCTGGCATCCAAGGAATCCATCCCTTTGGGGTTCTCATAATTGAGGCCCCAATGAAGGGGACAGCCCAGCAGCCCACGCTACCCTAAGAGTCCGCACCTCTATATCAAGACAAACTCTTTATGCAAAGATAGGGAGCAAATACATTAACAGTGTTGCCACTCTGTTTGGGGACTCCGAAACTGAAAACACGACAACCCTGCTAATGTATTTGCTCCCTATCTTTGCATAGAGAGTTTCTCTTGATAAAATGGTGGGCTCTCAGGGTAGCGTGGGATATCCACTCCATTATGGCCTCAACTTTGATAGCCTTCCTTTTAGCTTTGGAGTTGATTTCACATAAAAATTAGTATTAAAATCGCAACTTCCTGACATGCGAGAGCTCCATGGTTTGATGAGCCAGGACAAACCAAAAACCGCCATCCGAAGATGGAAAATTCAAAAAAGCGACTAATCGTGCTCCAGGGCAGTGCTGATTGCCTACACGCAAAATTGCAGGCTTTTTACAAGAGCATGGAGTAATTTCGGTAAAATCGATCCACAAGGTAGATAGGTCACCCGCACGACAATGAAATCGTCGCTCCTCTGGCGTAAGGGCGTATCTTGATTTCCGTATGAGCCTCAGAAAACATGGCTCTGTATGTAAAACAGGGCTCACGTAAGAAATGAGATACGCCCTTAAGTCATAGGAGCGACAAAATGTGGCAACTAAAGAAGTGGATCCAAGAATTGATCATTGCGACAGGGTTGGCTTTCTAGAAAAGATCGGTTGAGAGAAGAAAACATGTCAGAAACGAGAGATCATGGGCGATAAAGAGACACACGTGCACGATATAATAACCAAGTAGTTGGTAGGATATGGGCATGTGCTGTGTATAGCCAATTCCAGGTAGCCAAAAAGGGTTTAAAAGTGGGTTCCTCAAAATAGGCGTCGTAGAAGATGAATCTTCATCAATATTAATAGCAGTCGAACTAGGTAGATGATTTACAATACTTTTTCTGTGTTCGATACCATAAAAAGAAGGTGTTTAATGGCACCTGTAAAGAGTAAATACGACCCTTCCTTAACATAGAATTTTAGATCAGGGAAATTGTATGAATGTAGAAATAGAGTATACATACCTGTCTTTGAATGTTGAAAGTGAAAAATGTGTCTTCGACAATAACCATCGTCCAAAGTGCTGTGAAGGCAATCGTAACGAATTGGATGAATCCAAACACCAGGCCGTAGCAGGATTCTTTCACCTGTTTTGCTATTTCGAACCTAGAAAAATTCAGAGAGACAGACGCACTTCATTTTAGTTTTGCTGAATTGTAGCTTGAGTTAATCAGAGAATATACTAAGGTTACAAACTACAATGTCAAAATATTTGATTACTGCTTACAAAAGTTTCATCCTCTGAGATTTGCACAACCTTTAAAATGAAGGAGCACTAGATTTCTTCTTTGCAATTTTACGTGGAATAAGGAGATTGATGTGTAAAGAATGAAAATAGGTGCTTTTCGCGGGAAGCTCATTCTCGCAATTAAAGTGACCTTATTTGGTCCGTTTGTGATTTTTTTTTCTTTGTAGAAGATGAAGCCTTTTTCACAGAGATTGCAGCACATATTCAAATATAATTATGAGGCATATTTTAAGAATAATATACGCCTCTGCCAATAAATATGAAAAAATCCCATCCGCATTCAGTGAAATCATCTGAATTGAACAAAGGCTCCACAAGGAATCGAAATTTTGAGAGCATCTGTGAAGAAAACGAAAATCTCAGAAAAAAATTATTTACCAATTAAAATAAAATTCTTCAGTCCTTTTAGACAGAACAACTATCGCATTCCGCATTCCCGAACCCAAATCCTTTAGTTCTTTATCCAATACTTATTAAAAGCTGTAAATTATCTATGAATAAAAAAGATTAATCTTACTCTGCAACCGTCAGCATAGTATTGTACGCTAGTCCGAAAAGGATGTGGCAGCCGTAAAGGAGGTAAATGTTTTTCAGCTGACTCGTGAATAAGACCAGAACACCTAGGCAGAGGGATCCGATGGTCAAAAGAGCGTTGCTGTGACGAGTCCATTCAACATTCAATTGACCCACTTTATAGGAAGCGGCAGCACCTATTTATTTAAAATTAAAACCACGATTAATAATGATCAGGCGTGAATGATCGATTATCGATATCTCTCCATTTGAAGCTGCAGTAAAAGTATCGACTATCAAGGGGTTTGTCGTGAACACCCTGTTTCTCGATCTGTTTCCATTTGTTTAAATGGCAGATCAATCGATATGTCGCAGGCAATTAGCAATCGCCGGCAATTTGCAAGCGGTTCACGCGCTGTTTTAATGAATCGCAGTACCTAGTGCGCATCGGCATAATGCAATTTTTAAGGGTTATGGTGTTCAAAAGTATGAGCTCGGCTTGAGGTGCCTTCATGTTTTGTGATACTCTACGCTTTGTCACGATGTTAGTTTAGTTGCATGCCCGATCTCAACCCAACTATTGTCACGGAGTTCACTACACGCTCTTCTAAGTGTGCATATTCCTGCCTTGTTTTTAAGGTTGGAAAAGTGTCTATTCACATTATAGGCAACATAATCAGTTGTTATTTTATTTTTGAATTTTATGATTTTCTATATTATTCACCGCTGGCTTGTGAATTGCCGGCGATTGCCAATTGCCCGCGACAGATATACCGCTTAGATATTGATATTGATACAAAAAGCTGAAATGTATTGATGAAATTTACTTTAATGGCGGATTCTACGTATAGATATTTTCCCTCCATTAAACACATGATCACCATAAAATGTTCCCCCGAGAAAATTTTTCCAACTTCACTCGTATTTTCAACTGTAGAAGAAGCAAAGGCAGAGGGTGACGGATTCTATCGTTGGGTGTTGGACGGGGGTGTTAAAAAGCCATTCAACAACGTAGTCCTACAGCACGCTCCGGAACACTTTGATAGGCGATCAATGTATAGACAGTGTCCGAATCACACATTTTCCAAACTTATTTTCCAAAAATCGCCTTTATTCAGGTCAGACTGATACCACAAGGCATTCGTACACAAGAGCTGACGGAGGAACTCTTCTGAATAACTCCGAAATATATAACAACTGAAAATGGCAACTTTCTTTGGCTTTTTATCCACGATATTCACTATGGGGACTTACTTTTAGAGTTATTCCAAAGTGTTTCTTCGTAAAATCTTATTTGCAATGTACCAGAGCATAGTGTAAATATTGGAAATTTTCAAAATAACGTCCCAAAATTAAGAAACTATCAATGAACCAATCGAATGTCAAATCGTCCACCACGGTTCTGCAGAACCACCCTAAAAAGAATGGAAGGAACCGTTTCATTTTACCGGCCTGTTCTGGCCCTCATAGATTCGGAATTTGGTAACAGTCCGTGGATACAACTATTCGTACTTAACGGATGTCATTGTTGCATGCATGCTCAGTTGAAGGTGTTTCGGCTGTTCTGTCCCTCATAGATGCGGCATTTGGTAACAGTCCGTGGATACAACTATTCGTACTTTACGGATGTCATTGTTGCATGCATGCTCAGTTGAAGGCGTTTTGGCTGTTCTGGCTCTCACAACGTAACGATACGCACGGCATGTGCCAATTAACACAAGCGTTAAGCATTTCCTCATAGAGCTCCTGGATAGAATCTTACTTGAATTAAATCTAGCACCTAACGCACTACAGCGTGATTTAAATATTAGATTTTTTTATAAGAATATCTTAAAAGCCGAAAATTAACAACCGATTAATTCACTATCAGACCGGTGTTGAAAGTGCCGAATGGATATTGAGGAGCAAGCAATGGTTTTGTGAACTTGATAGGCACACAGTCACTTAACAATCAACAAAAATCTATGACGAGTGTTGCTGCCTACAGAAAAATGCTGAGTCTCCGAGAGTAAAAGTTACGAAAAGACACTTCTCCACGTTCAAACTAGATGCCTATTTTAGGCCCTCAGGAGGCTGATTATTGGTATTGATGGACAAAATGATTGACAAAGAAGATAAAAGGAGAATACAACGATCCTGTTGGTTGAAATGGGTGGTTGCTATAGCCTAAGAGAGAAAATAATAAACTAACTAAAGGATCTCTCGTGAGTTGCCGCTAGTTGCTTTATCACTTATCATTTTTGCAACCACCTCCTTAAACTAATACGATTGCTCCATTTCCTCTTTTTTTCTTTACCTATAGCTTTGTCTATTAATTTTATTCATTAGCCTGCAAATTGAACACGGAGAGGAGCCTATTTTTTAAAATCTGCAGTAAGATTTCTATTCATAGTTCATCTAACTGAAGCGCTTCTTGAAAACTGAAAATCGTCATACCGCTGAAAATACTTCAAACTCTCATACAAATCTATCGTTGGTCTTTCCAATTTTACAATGCACCTTCAGCAGAGGATTGAAATGATGTAAAATGAATACAAGCGCATTCGCGTGTTTATTGAGAATAACAGGACCGCGTTAAACAGAAAGGAACCAGGCCACATCAGTTGTTGCCAAATTTAGCAGGGAATTTCCATTTTCTACGAGAGAACGTTAGTGCGGATTTTTTTAAAAATTTTCAGGAATTTTCTTCGTACTGTGGAGGAAATCCTCTGAATTTTGCACAAAAATCCGCACAACCGTTTACATGTAAAAAATTAAATTACTCAGGTAAATTTAGCAATAGCTGATGTGGCTTGGTTCCTTTCTGTTTTAACGCGGTCCAACTATGAACTTACTCAAAGCGGTGTAAATGCAATCCACGATTCCGTTCTTCGATTCTACATCGGGATAGTTTTCCTCGATGACTTGTTTCCAAATGACTTGGCAGTAAGAGAGTACCTGTGAAAGAGAATATCATCAACAGGTTTGGCCTTTGAAGCTTTTGGGGAATAAAGAGATAGGATGTGGTTCACTCTCTAAAAAGTTGCATATAGCTATGAACAGTGTAAGTTCTTCGCAATCGTGAGACCTGCGTTTTTCTCAAAATAGTGGCAGATTTTAATAAACACTATCATCTAACGAGTTAATTTTTTCGTGTTAATATAATAAATGTGTAATTATGTGTGTATATAATTATTATGTGTGAACCTCGAAAATCTGACCATCAAATAAGTGATCATTTTTGTTTGAATAACCTTTTTTTTAAAAACAAAAAACATCGTGCTAAAACGGCCAAGTCCACTGTAGTTCTGATTGATTTCATCCTCTACTATGATATTTTTCTATAACAAAAAGTGGTATCGCCATTTAGCATAACCTATCAAATACCTTGCGTTATTATAGGTATACAGATCTGTGTTATCTTCCCCACATTTAAAGCTTCTCCGGTTGGTTAAAAAAATGTATAAAGGAATTTCCACAAACCAAATTACTTCCGGCTCCAGCAACACTCCACCAGAAGGCCCAAACAATCACTTTCTGGTTTGAGAAAGAGCACTTGAAGTCCGACCAGAAATACTTTAGAGCGGTTGAATATTTTCCATTGGACTTTTCCACTATCTCTGGAGTTGAATTTGACAGGACAGCTTTTACCTGCTTAGAAATTTTAAAGAGACATAAAACACCCTCAAACGTTCAAAAAATAAAAAAAAATATGTTTCATAACTTCTGTTCAAATCATCATGTTTCCAAACATAATATTTCCTGTTTAGAGTCTGGCTAACCTTGATCCCCATATAATTTCTCCTGTAATTTTAAATATAATATTTGTAGCCGTAAAAGACACATATTAAAGTTTTGACGAGATTTCCAGTTTTAATGCCGACTCAAAATTGTTCTATGGAATTGAAATAAATCTGCGGTCATTTCGTCTGAGGATGGATCTGTGTACGAATAGTTGACTATACACATAAATGAAGGCGTTTTTTTATTGAGATTCAATACGCGATGAAGTTACCGATTACTGTATTATAGCTTGCTTTGATGATCCGCGGACGTTTTATTATAAATGCCTAAATGTTTTTTTTTTTTCGTTAAGGCTTAAGCCTATAGTAGTATGAGCCCTAAATTAAAAAAAAAAATACATGCAAACCAAGACTTACGTGAAAAAAAGACCTGCTCTTTTTTTTGGGAGGAAAAAAACTGATTTGAGTATACGATAACTGTCATATCTTGGGATTGTCAGAGCACTCTTTTGTGATTTTATAGAACACTCCTTTCCCCTTAAAATTCCACATTCAGAAAAATTAGCAGCTATATAATAGCGACGTGATGGCTCATATGTAACTCCGTCCATAATCTGCAGAACCTCCGTTTGTATTTTATTTTTTGAAACCTAAGGATTTTAAATGAACCTTTTTTTCCTTCCTTACTTATTTAGATGCTAAAGCATCGCTTTAAAATAAAATTATATTACTACTACTACTACTACTTTCTTTCTTTCTTTTTTTCTTTCAACATTTTTGTATTTTCACTGATATAACTTTGATTTCCATGTAAACACACAGAGGTGTAAATGGCCTTAGATGCTAAAGCACCGCTTTAAAATAAACTTATCTTACTACTATACTATTACTTTCTTTCTTTCTTCCTTTCTTTCTTTGAAATATTTTGTTAATACGTTTTAACCGGTAAGGACCATTCAAATCAATTTTCAGTACAAACTGTTAGCCAGCTCTTTATTTAAAAAGTTAAGCATAAGTGGAGCTTTTCAACCTTGTAATCGGAGATGCGCAATCTTCGACTTAAGTTACCGAAATGTAGATGATGGCTCTAAAACTGTGAGTAAGTGCAGTATGAAAGCTTACGGATGCTTCCATGAGAAAATAGACTGCTTGCGGATGCGTAACGGAGTGCTTACGGGCTGCGGCTGATCTGAGGCATCAGGGCTCCATATCTGGATGGTGGAAACGGAGATGGCGTTTGGATTTTCCATTGCTGAATCACCCTCCGTTTTCTTTCGGTGGAAGTAAAAAGTGTGCTTCACCGGTGGAAGGAGCAGCGATATAAACGTGGCAACCGACATACCTAATTTAATAATGAGCAATTAGTTTGTGTTGTTTTTTTAGAGAGAAATAGAAAATGGACCTGTTGCAAACTTTAGCTAGAACAAAAATGGACGTATTTCTGCCAAACGGAACTATGTGCATTAAGACAGAGCCGTGAGACCCATCAGAATACATGCATAACAGGGCTCAAGTCGTAATGCACATATTTCCGTTTGACAGAAATACGTCCAAATAAGAGTTGCTTCTCATAGAAAGTGACACGAAAAAAAAGCGCATCATATTTACCCGGAAATTCGTGGTTCATCAAAGGAATTTTGGCACCGTCTGAAGGTCCATACAGCGTCTTTCCTAAGTACGGCAGTATAGAGGCAGTGGCGTGGCGTGAATTGCGATATATCGATTGTTATGCCATTTAAACCTATGGAAAAGGATCGATAAACAGGGTGCTCGCAGCGAACACCTTAATAATCGATTCTTTACCATAAGTTTAAATGGCATAACAATCGATACATCGCAATTCACGCCAAGATAGTGTATAGAGGATCTTCATGTTTCTGTGTGACTTCGGAAAGTCTCCTATACATAGAAAAATATAAAATGAAACCAATTTCTTCTCTCTAAACTGAATAGTTTCAATGTGCTGGCATCAGTCAACTTTCTTATGCCACAACCTGAGTACGTAACATAAGGCTGTACATTAATTTTCCAAGTTTCATATTAAAATAACTGAACTTGCGATAATCTTTTTAGTATACCAAGAGCAGAGGCACAACCACCCTCTCTTCTCTTCCAGTTCAAGAGCACGAGGAAGGAGTAATTGGACTTCATTTTGCAATTTGGAACTATAAATTCCGGCCCAACTTAAAAAGAACGTATGTGCCATTAGTTTCCCTATGCACATAAGTGTTTTTTTAGATGAGTCAGAATTTATAGGTCCAAATTGCAAAATGCAGTCCAATTATCAGTGGCGAGGCGTGAATGATCGATTTATCGATATTTCCCCATTTGAAGCTGTAGCAAAGAATCGATCATTAAAGTTTTCGTTGCAAACACCCTATTTATCGATCCTTTTCCGTAGGTTTAAATGACAGATAAATCGATGTATTGCAAAACACGCCACGCCACGCTACTAGTAATTAGTCTGGAGGATAATTGAGAGGACGATGATCGACTGAGAGAAAATTAAGTTTTGTAGCTCAGAAAGTTTGGGTCTATTCTCTTGTCCTCATCTCAAGTTCAAGTTCAAGCACAGTGAACGACACAATATTGACAGTGGCGTAGCGCGCTTCGCGATGCATCGGTTGATCTGTGGAAAAGGGTCGATAAACAGGGCGTTTGCAACGAGCACCTTAATAATCGATTCTTTACCGTAGCTTTAAATGAAGAAATATCGAAAATCGGTCATTCACGGCTCGCCAACAATATCAAAGAACCGGACTACCGTCTCGAAATGTAACTAATTTATGATAATTTATTCGGAACGCAGAAAAGCTGGTTTGAGAAATGAATGAATGAGAGATATCCTCTGTTCAAAACAAAATTTGACCCAAAAACCAAAATTAGAATCTCGTTGATTTTTAAACTACGGAAGCTTGCTTTTCAGCAGCAATGTTCCTGAACTTTTGCGCGTATTTTATTCTTTTAGGTGGGAAACATATCGTCACCTTCCGGCCAAAGTATCACAAGCGCCATGCATTGTTTCAAAATTTTCGCCGCTATTTTATTTTGATACAGAGAAGTTGTTCAACGAAGCTGTCCGAAAATTTCACTGAATTTCCTTTGGGCTGCCGATAAAATCCAGTGAAATTGTCAAACAGATTCAACCAACGATTCCTCTTAAAAAAATAAAATGGCGGCGGAAATTTTGAAACGTCCCATGGCGCTTGTGATACTTTTGCCGGAAAGTGACGAAATTAATATTTCGCTCTGGGGGAAAAGTAGCGCAAAGATTTAGATAATACAATAAGTGGGACACAAAGTCGATTTTGAGTTTTCCGGGTATTTCCTTTTTTCCTCTTAGCAAATTCGATCTAAAATGTAACAAGATCAGCCTAATCTTTGAGAAATGCGACACAAACTATAGTCTATATTTTCCCCGGCATTGACGAAGAGTGACCCAATAACACACAGACATCTCTCAAGGATTAGTTTCTGAGAGGATTTGAAACGGAACCAGCAATTTGACAGCACTGGATTTTTTCCATTTTAACCTATATGTCAAATAATCGATTGTTGGCGGAGCAGCTGACCCCTCCGGCAATTGATACATTTCCATAGGTTTAAAAGGAGAAAAATCAATATTGCCAATTTGCTAGATCTGCCAATGAGGAGGATGCCATTTTTTATCGTACTTATCAAAAAACTTCTAATATCGATGTTCACTGTCTCCAAAACAAAATAAACAGGTTTAAAAAGTTGCCATTTAGACGCGTGTTTTTTAGAGTTTCGTCGTCTTCATGCCCAATTTTTATATTTCAAGTGTTCACATACTCGTTTCAAGGTTGCTCGTGAGACTGATATCCATGTAGAATTTTTGTTGGGCCTCTTTTTACAGGTCGCAAATCAAATAATGATGTACTTATTACATCCAAATCGATCCTCTTAATAAGCATGGCTGTTGATTTTGTCGAAGTTCTTCCTCTTCTTTTTCTTCCTTTTCTTTAGTCAACAGTGAATTAAATTCGAGTGTGTCGGCTGATAATGATTCTATTTTACACAAGGATATAAAGAATACCTCTTGAGTATGTATGAGTAATAGTTATGAGAAACTTCAAACGTGGAAAGGAGCTTGGAGAACATGGATGTGTGCTATATTTGGCGCAGATTACGAAGAACGATCAAAATACTCTGCGGATGCATCGATGTTCGAAATAAAACCTCCGTTTCCTATACTTAGAAATCGTCCGAATGCAGAATTTGCATGAAAATTTTTTATTGCTTCATCTGAAAGTGCTTCAAGAGCTGATTTCACAGTGTTTTTTCTGATATGGGAAATAGTATTAAAATAGATTTAAAAGTGAGAAAATGCACCGCCTAGTGACGTCATCTGGCGGCATTTTCCATTTAAACACATCATGTATTTTAGCAGATTAGATCATTTTGTCATATCTTATCCATTTATAATTGTTCAATTCTTGAACTAAGGGTATCCTCGTGTTCAGTTCACTCAAGAGTTTCCACTTAGAAACGAAATTCATCAAATTTCAGACACCTGCAAATTCTCTATTCCAAAAATGTCTTTTCTTTTGAAATTTGACATACAATAGGGCACAGGCACACGCAGTCGATAATTTGAAAATTTCATAATCTGTGCCCACTGCCTCCTTTTTGAAAAAAACGAGTGGAGGGGCAATTCGCAGAAACTCGTACTCGAATGCCTATCGATAGCTTCATTTCGAGAGAACACTATTCAAAATTTTTCCATAAGGAATAACGCCGTACGAACATTCGAGAGTTAACAAATTTTCCCGGATAAAACATGTATTTTTGAGAGGGATTATGCGTATTTATCCTTGAAATTGTTAGCCATAATTGCGAACAAATTGTCCGAAAAAATTGAAGAAAAAATTCATGATTTTTCCAGGAAATTAAGACTTTATTGAAATAAATGTGGCAACGTCTGAAGGTTCATACGACGTCCTTCCTCAGCACGGCAGAATGGGCCCATTGCGCTGGTGACATAGTTGTGTTTTGATGCTTGATTCTTATAGGTTTGCTAAAAATAAGAAGATCTGCATAAACAGCAACTTTCTGTGCTGAATATCCAGCGAGACATCGTCCTTTGAAAAGTCGGGTTTTGACGTCGCGTCGTCCACCGCGGTAGTGAATAACATGGTATGTACTACCGCGGTGTATCGTCATAAATTGAGTTTTTCAAGGCGCGATATCTGGCTTAATATTCAACGTAGAAAGTTGCTGTTTGGACAGATCGTACTATTTTTGGTTGATCTGCAAGAATAAGGCACCAAAACACGATTCTATGACCAGCGCAACTGATCTATTGGACTACATTTTGCAGTGAGGAACCACTATTTCTAGCTTATTTTCGGAACAGCATGGATGTCATATCAGTCTCTCTATGCGAACAGGTGATTTTGTGAATGAGCAAGAAATAGTTGTTGTCCAATTATCATACTTCTAGCTGCAATGGCGTTGCCGTTTATTCCTTTGAGTTTTTCCCGGTATCCTTAGCGATTGCTGGCTTCGAGCATTACTGCCGTGCTATGGAAGATCGCCGTATTGACCTTCAAGCGTTGCCAAATTGCCTTTGATAAAAAAAGAATTTCCTGGTAAACTTATAAGTAGTTTTCTTCGAATTTTTCAGATAATGTTGTTCGCTATTTCACCTAAAGTTCCTAAAAATTTCAAGGAAAAATATTCATAGCTTTCCCCAAAAATAAACGTGTTATAGGAGGAAATTTGGCAACTATCGAATGTTCATACTGCATTCTTCCTTAGCACGGCAGATTACGTCTCAAAACTTCAATTCTTAGCGTTTATCGTACATTAATCTCATTCCCAGACTTGGGGCTGATGGCTTCATCGATTATAGTCAGCCAATCACGCATAGCCTCGTTTTCTCATCATAAGTGACGTCAACAAGTCTATATAAGCGTTAGCTGCCTTTTTCTTCAGGTCGTTTTCTATCTCTGACCCGTGCAGCTCCGCGATCGCTATTCTGTTCTGCCATGCTAGGGAAAAACTTCGTATGAACCTTCAGGCGTTGCCAAATTTCCAATTACACAACACGAATTTCCTGGTAAACTTATAGATATTTTTCTTCCAAATTTTCGGATAATATTGTTCGCAATTTCACCTAAAGTTCCTGAAAATTTCAAGGAAAAATATTCGTAACTTTCCTCAGATGTAAACATTTCATCGGAAGAAATTTGGCAACTCTCGAATGTTCATACGGCCTTAACACGGCAGTGTTCATCTGGCAATTTCTTTTCGGTGCGGCTTTCCTCAAACTTGTATCTCTTCACATTTAACACGTTTTTATGGTCCTTCATTCTAGTTTTTCATGTTTCCTCCCTTATTTCGCTAATTTCATCCCTTTTAGTGCTCCAAGTGCGGGATATTGGTCCCACGTGACAAGATGCAGGGCCCTTCGATAATTTTCAGGCGATAGATAATATTTACATACCTCCGATGCTCAAGTAGACGAGGGGTAGTTTGCTGGCATTGATTCCGGCGTGTTGGATGGTGACGTAAAGTTGTGACAGACATCCACTCACGAACTTGCCGAACAAGACACAAGCCCGCACGTAGCCCGTGATTCGGTTATACGTCATTTTGTCCTCAATTTTCGCGTACATGTAAGTGTAATATGCCGTGTCCGAAGAGAAGAAGAACGAGTAGAACATCTGCTCGATCTACCATGGAAATGTAATAAAAAATACTTGTGAAATTTTATATATATATAAATTTGTATTCGTCAAAAGTATAAGTATCATATGGATTACATTTTGCAATGAGGTACCACTAACCACTATCTTTGGCTCTCCCACAAAAGCACATATTTGCATAGGGAAACCAATGGCATGTATGTTGTTTCTAAAATTGGCCAGAAACAGTGGTTCCTTATTGCAAAATGCAATCCATATACGTACAGGTACAAACATGAGAAGGAAGTTAAGTTAAATAAATCACCTGCTATCAATCACGGCAATAAAAATACTTGGGCAGATATCAAGATAAGATTAGCAATAAAGTGAAGTTGGTGACAAAATGTTACAAGGCGGAAAAAAACTATCAGGTTAAAAGGCTTACAGTCAAAACGACATGGCTAATATGTCAAAAAAATCTAATGAGAAGACATTGAAAAAAGACTTAGTTCAAAAAATAGGGACCAGAACTTTATGCAGATGGATTGTTACCCTAGATTTCCTTCATCGTCATCATGGCAAAGTATAACACATAACAGTGTTGAACAGTATTAAAGAGAATGAAACACCCTTAAAATGTTTCTAAAATTCAAAATAACAGTGTTATATATATATTGCGAGACTGTATAATGTAATAAAGGAAGAATGATGATAATTTTTCCCTGTCGTCAGTTACTATTGAATCAATTTACGCTGCTTTTATGACTCATGCATACCTATCGCTACACAGTTGATTCAATTATGGCAGTGATGCTTACCTGCATCATTCGAACTGAGGGTTTTCCGAGAAGTAGAACGTAGGTCATGATGCCAGCGACTCCATCGGCGATTATGATTGGTTTGTATCGGACAAAATCCGTGATCAGGAACACGAGGATAACGAGGAAAAAACTCGAGTATGCCCAGATGACGAAGATATCTTGAACGGCCTAAAGGACAAAATCATATCTTTTCAAAATTGACTCGAAATAAACCTCCAAGGTACAAAATCGGTGCCAAGGGTGAACACTGAAAAAAAAAATTTCCATCGTCTGAGCTGAGCGTTCGATATTTAAATCGATTGAACTATCAACGGTGAAACTACAAAACCACATATGGATATAGCATTTAGCAAAGAGGACCCAGCGTGATTACAGTGTTGTAAAAATGTTGCTTCTTCATAATTATCTAAAAAAAAATCTCCAGAATAGTAAGTAGTTTTTCCTCTCCACCAAAAATTTGTTAATTTTAAAGGAAAATAATTGTGTAAATTTTAATACTGTACATGTGTGATGTATTTTTAAAAGGAAAGAAGAAGTTTCACCGTTTTGAAAACACTGTACTCGCCCTGGTTTCTTTTTGCTAAATGCAATCCATATATCGTTTGCGGTGTTTAAAAATCTCCGCTCTAATTTTAATTTTTTGCCGGAGAACAAGTCGATTTCATTTCTTTAAGTTTCCACAGAGCAGTCTTCGCACAGAGAAGAAAAATCACAGAAGTTTTCAAAAATTGACGTTGAATGGTTTTCCATGTAAAAACTAAAGTATGACGTGAGGTCTGCAACATCGCAAACCGAGATACGTGGTCTGGTGGTTCCACCGACAATATTTGGTTTATTTAGGCAAAATTTCTGTTCCTGAGAAAACTGATGAAAGAAGTTGGATTACACTAACCGAGCGTTCGATCCTATGAACCGAACATTTTATTTATTATACCAAATCCAAATTAATGGCTAAAACGTGCAAAGCACGCGGTCTTTTAGTAGTTTAATGGCTTTTTACGTCTCGATTGGTAGCTTATGATTTATGAAGAACAATAAAATCATGAATTCCGCCAAGAGAAAAAGTGCATGGAGTAATTCATCCGGCTTCATCTTCAAAAGCTGCCGATCGTTAAGTAATCAATTGTAAACGTATCATATCGCCTATAATCTGCGGATTATTGAAGTGAAATAGGACGTAGCAATTCATTATTCTGTTTGTACTATCATTATCGCGGTCGTTTACCTCCAGGACAAACGGATGATTTTACTCTAAAACTTGTAAACTGGAAATTCCATAAAAAAGAAATATTAGTATGTCTAAACCCCCTTTGTAGCAACAAAATAAATTTTCCAAAAAAAACAAGCAGAAAAATCCAACATGAATATGTTGGAAAAGCGTGCCGAATAACTAAAATGTTGGACACATACCTACTAATTTCACGTCTTTGTTATTTGCATCAATTGGTACTTTTTTTGGGGAGAAAATATTGATTCATGAACGTTAAATGTAAATTGATTTTAAAGATTCCGTCCAATTATCTTGATTTTCAGCTGATATGCGGCATTTCGCACGACCGTGATTTGGGCGAACTGCCGTGCATCGAAATCGCGTTGAGTTAATCTCTTTGGATTTCGAACTGTAACTTCTCTCCTATTCGGCCGATTTTTACAAATGAGGTCTCTTTTTATTTGTACTTTAACGGAAAGTGAGGAAAAACTCGCTAAATAGACGGAAAACAATTTTTGTGAAAATTTGGTGGATCCTGGCGTCACGGTGAATAGTTAATCGGGCGTGGAAGATAATAGGTTCGACGAGGCGACCCTCTCCTCGCCGTCTTTTATTGCCTTGCTCGAAACCTGACACCCAAAGCTATATCGGGAGATAACTGCAGTGGTTTGAGTGGATTTCTGCAGGGGCCACGGTTAGTACATGGTATAAAGAGTCACGAGGCTCATCACAGATTGCACTTGCAGTGCAAGACGCTCATTGGCTAAACAGTTTTGGCGGGAAAGAAGGTTCTAGAGTTGAGTCCTCCGAGCGTAAGAAAGCTTCTCTGAGGTTTTTGTCAAATGAAATAATACGGTTTTGACAGGAAAATGTTCTCAAGGGTTCCCAATTAGCAGTTCATTCGGTTTTTTGGTAAGAGACCATCAGGGCTTGACAGTATAATGGTTCAAAGACAAGAAAACGGGTCCGAGGAAAAAAATATTTGGACGGCCCGTTGAATAGCATTGGTTGATCGGTGTGCTGTACTATGGTACATCCGAGTGATTTCAAAAAGCGAGCCCTACTGGCACGCTTAAAATATTGTGTAGGCTATAGTGTTTGTGTTGTATAGCATCAAAATTGTTTTAAATCCAGATAATCTTTTCTGTCGATGCAAAATAAGAAGTATAGAGCAAAACATGCAACATACAAACCTAAAAATGTAGGCGGATTTTTCATCAAAATTACTGGGAAAAAAACCTAGAAGAGACCAATAAAAGTGTGAAGATACATTGTTACCTACGCACACACACACAAAAAAAGACGTACGTAAGGGTTCCTTTTTATGAAAATAACTAGGTTTTCTTAATTTGATGATTTTGGATTTTTGTTTGTTTTATAGCCTTGGTTTCCTATTTTCTTGTGTTTTTTAGTTGATTTTTTCCACTTCAAATATCTCACGATGGATAATCCCGCACTTTTATCGTCCCTAAAGTCCCATCACCTCTCTTAAAACGAGATAATAGAAGAGGTCAGACATGAATTTTTTGGCTAAAACTGCAAAGTTTGATGTTTATTTCGTCACATTTTAAATTTCAAGGGGTGCTCCTAGAGGAAAATTTCCCGAGAAAACCAATGGAACCACTTTTAGAACCTCAAAATTATGTGTAGACAGAGTTATAAGCGTTCAAAGTTTACAACTTTTGTCCGACCTCTCCTATTGATTTGATCCACTGTGCTCCGTCTCTAACCAAGCAAGCCCCGAATGACCGTTGGTTCTCAATTTGTATACTCTGGTAAAAATTGGCAGTAGAATCTGTGTTCCAAAATACCATAGACCTACAGCCGGCTGTAAGATTTCCAATAGCTTCTATAGCCGGCTACACAATTTCATTATAGCCGATGGCGATTCAGCAACAGTCAGGCGATAAAGTGTATGCTACACGTTACTAATTACGGATGCTAGGACTTGGTGAGTTTTTGGACCACTGCTCTCTTTTTGGGTCGTACTATCCTGATTTATTTTGCGAGGAAAGCTCCGTACTTTTGATGGATGCCTGCCATTACTAATGTATTAGAGCGCCTTCAGTTTCGTATGATACTGTGCAATACCTCTGGTGTGAAATAGTTGCTTCAAGCGCCGTGGCAAGCGGGCAGCCGGCGCGAAACACGCATTGGCGCCTACAAACCTAACAGGGATACTTCACGCGTTGCGCAATGCGTGAAGTATCCCTGTTAGGTTTGTAGGCGCCAGTGCGTCGCCGCTCCGCTTTGTGTTAAAGGCTATAATATTTAATTTGGCGGAGTCAGCGTCATTCAACTCATGATTTTGAAATGTTTGCACATCCTGTATGGATTATTCTCATTTTAATTGATGGAAAAAAAATATGTATTAAAGGAAAATATAATGTGCATGTGTTTTGGAAATATTAAGGTGGTTCCGTATCAAACTTAATGATTTCCAAAGCACACAAATTTCTCCACAATTTCTTATAGCCTTTTATACTCGATGGCGAAAAAGCAACAGCCAGGCGATAAAGTGTAAATCCCGGCGATAGGAACTAAAGCCCGGCTGCATAATTTTTTATCACTTCGTATAGCACGACCGTATGATTTTCTCCGCATTCTACAGCCAGTTATATGATTTTCTGTAGCCCTCTTTAGCCGGCTATAAGAATTCCTATGGTATTTTGAAACGCAGCTCTTATCGCCAATTTTTACCAGGGATCTCAACAATTTTTAAAAGCGATCCCCTTTAAAATTTACGAGTTTTTTTTTAAAACAGTTTATAGACTCATTTCTGCTGCAGTTCTGTGAGAAAATGCGGAATTTTCCGTGGTCTCATGTAGACTCGGCATTGATACATGTCTGATCGATCAAGTTCGTTGGAGGACTCAGATCCTGCACAGGAAAAACAAGTTAGCGCTAAGCCCTAACATTTTAGGCAAAGTAATGTCAACTACAGGCAGTAATGCTGAGCCCTACAGCTTTCGGATCCAGCCCTACTGTCTGTAGTTGGCGCTGTTTTACCGAAAGCTTTAGGGCTAAGGTTTAGCGCTAAGTTGTTTTTTCCGTGTGTCCAGATCGAATAAATTTGGATCCTCGCCAGTCTCAATATACCTGCTTATCCTTGTGTGTCACGATGCAACTGTTGCACAGTCAATCAACTTCATATTTTGAAACTTACTTGTTTTTCAGAAAATCCTACGTCCGGTCCAATCAGGAACTCGGCGAAAAACGGCTCTAGGGGCCGAAATTCACGAGCCATCGCGAACGCGCACACAAGTAGGCAGATTTTCGTGTTGATTTCCATGACTGAGACTCAAAAATCCACCTAGAAAAGATAATGGTTTAGAAAATGAATGAATGAAGAACAATGGCATAATTTGCTCGACGCACTTTGTAACGTCGTCTCGGTCGGTGCGGAAAATTTTGTTCCTAAGATATCAAGGAACATGATTGAGCAGAGGTTTTTCCAAGTTTTTGACCTTATTAAATACACACATTTGTGTGTTTTTACGGCTTGACTTCGTAACTCGTAAGTTAGTTGAAAGAATGAAGAGATGTCGTCTAGCCTACGGCATGGGCAAGTTTCTTATAAAAATGTCAAAAATTCTTTACGGAATCTTCTAAAAATTTATTTAAAATAAAATAAAAAATCACTTTTAATCTTTCCATGTCTTCTAATAGCTCTTAACGGTTTAACAATGTTTTAAAAAAATTAAAAAACTACTTTAGAACATTTTAAGGACACATAAATTTACTTCACCGTAGCTTATTCTTTTATGTAGCTCCATTTTTTCTGATATACTTTAAAGACATATTTTAAGCTCTATTATGTCAATTTAGTTTTATGTGTCACCAGTGCAAAATTCTGAAAATCTAAGCATTTATTTAGTGGATCTCACATGTTATTATGATGATACAATGATGCTCATAAGCCCCATGAGGTCCTCATTTAGAATGTTTTGAAAATAAGTATAAGACACTGTATCTACCAAATTAATTTCGAAGTGCCCCCCTCCCCTCCTCCACAATCCATCGTCAATATATTTATGAAGATACTTTGATTGCTCTCATCAATTTTGAGAATGAAAAAATTAAAGAATTGATAAGGAAGGAACCAGCTCACGATAATTTGTATGCACCTGAAGGACTGGAATAACAGTAATAACACTGTAATCGAGGAACTTGACACAGTTTTTCCCTTATGGAAAAGTACGGAGCAAAATCAGACTCGCACACCTAAACATTTCCCAAATTCTATTTTTCAAGCAACAGTAACCGGAAAAACAAAAATGAAATCAAGATGGAAGGGTCGTTGCCCCTCTTCCTTGTTTCAACGTTGTTTTGTGACTGATTCTCTAAAGTCTTCTGTTGACCGTATCGGTGATCACTTGGTCGCGTGCCGTAAGATTACCGTTGTTTTCGTTCCAAGTTTGTTGCCAACTTTAGTTCAAATTTAGCTGAGAACATGGAACGAATCGATGCGATATTCCGCTTGTCTTTCTGAAACAAAATATTGCGTCCATCGGATCACCTTAACTTCCTCTATGAACCGTTCGCCAAGTCGTCCTCCAAGCCCTCCCGTAGTCTACCAGGGGGGGGGGGGGGTGCCCATGCCCCCTGGGGCGTAACTTTCATTAGCATCGAACTTGCTCGGATCGCCGTTGGTTCGTACGTCTCTGTCGATCGCTGATTTATGATCCGCACCGGTGAGGATTAATCGGTGGGCTAAACAGGCAGTGGATAAAGCTCAACTTGCAGACAGAGCTTGTAAGTAAAAGTTATGGGTACAGACCGCGGCGAAAGGTCCCTTTGGGACCTGCTCTTTGTATGACTCGAGCCGCAAGATAAACATTACCTAAATGATAATTATCACTTTAACACAATGAGAACCTGAATACTTCATTTTAAAAATATCAATATCAACTTTTATGACCAAGAAAGGGCTGAAGTTTTTTTAACGAAATATCGTATTGATTTATTGACAAAATGTGGCATCGATATCTCCAAATATTCTCTTTAGGATCTTGATATGAACTTAAATAATAATTGATAAGGACGGAATGTCTGATACGAGTGGAGCAGTGGCATGCTTTGCTATATATCGATTGATCTGCCATTTAAATCTATGGAAAAGGATCGATAAAGAGGGTGTTCGCGACGAACATCTTAATAATCGATTTTTTACCATAGCTTCAAATGGGGAAATATCGATAGTCGATCATTCATGTGTCATCAATGTTGCCGTTGCCCAACTCTCTTTTCGCGTCAGATTTTAAGCAGATTTTTAGCACTGATTCCAAAAACTACTTCTAGCTTTCCGCAAAAATTCAGTTATGCCCGGAAAAATCGGAATTCACCCCCAAAAAATGATAACCTCTCCGAGAATAATGATTCAATGTTTGGAAAATTGGTGCATGATAGAAAAACAATGGTCATTTTTAAATTAGCAAAAAAACACGAGAATGTATCGAAGAAATAATTATGAAATATACACAAATACATTTCGCGCTGTTTCTACTAACTAAATTTTTCCGGTCAGATGTCTTAATCCACCCGTACACTACCATCAAATTAACTGATTATTTTCCGTTTGAAAGAATAGGAATCTTCTCTTCCTAGGTGTCTACTGATCGTGAGACTAAATCGAACAAATTCTGACCGCTGGAGATGAAAATGGCCATCTTTTTTATGCAACGTCTTCCAAATTTTCAAGAAAAATTAGTATCCCGCGGTTAGCTCAACTTTGGGGGAAATTTCCAATTTTTCATGGCAAACCCGAACTGAACCGAGTTGAATAGAAGTACATATTTCAAGTCAGATCAAGTTTAAGTCCAGAAAAGGGAATTTTAAGTTTTATTAGAAAACTCAATGTTAAAGGCAATGTTTACTGACTGTTATTATGTTCAAAATATTGTTTTCTCGACTGTGAATTTTTCTTAAGAAAAAATTTACGAGAATTACGACTCGTTGAACTCACCTAGCTCTATTTTTGTTTCCTCAAAATACAGTCTACTGCCTTTCCGTTAAACTCGTTCCAACTGATCCAAAAAAACGGAGGTACTTTTTGGAATCAGCGCTACATATTTACTGCTCATAAGCAGTTTGATCTCTGGAGCATTAAAACTGTTGCTTTAAATCCAAGCATGTCTTCAACGAAAGCACGACAGCGCGGCTTTTTATTAGTATATTTATCATGGATTACAAGTTCCAAGGCGCGACGGCACGGCACAGTGTCTTCATTATGGATTTTAAATTACAGGTCACACCGGATTCCCTCAAAACTCCTTCATTTCATAGCATGGGCAATTCGATCTCCGGGGAGTTAAAATAGTTGCTGGCAGTGAAAACATGTCTTCGATATAGGCGCGACGGCGCGGTGCAATACCGTCATCAAGAATTCTAAGTTGTACGGTTGCACCTAGAGAAATCAATTTTCATCGCATTAAATTTTTTCACATGCAATTTCATTTTGACTACTTCTAAACCCGATATAAGAGTAGTTGCACCAGTCAGAATTACGGTTGAGTCTGCCAAAAGTGCGGATGGTTCCACCATACCCTGGCTGGTGTAACTCCTCTTATATCTGGCGCCAAAATCAGCCAGAAGTATAGTTGGGATTGTGATACTTTCCTTTACTGTAGGTTTATCAAGCTTTAGGCGAATCCAAAAAAAAAAAGAGGATTCGTTGACCAGCATGCTATCCGATAATACAATTAGCATAAGAAGAACTAACCTAGAATAAAAACAGACCATGAAACAGTAGATGGGCGTTGAGTCTCTAGCGCGGGAAAATCAGCTGATCGGTGCAGTCCGGCGATCCACGCGGATCCAGCTCGACCAGACGAAACCGCGACAAGACTCGTCGGTCGTGACGCTAGAGCAACACTGATCGTTAAGTTGTCCAACTCCCGCCGGAGGAGGAATTATTTTTTTACCCAGTGGCCCAGTACCCAGTGAGTGATCGATAATCGATATTCCCCTCATTTGAAGCCATGATGAAGAATCGATTAATAAGATGTTCGTTGCGAACACCCTTTCTATCGATCCTTTTCCATAGGTTTAAATGGCAGATCAATCGACAGAACGCATACTATTTTTATTATCCTCCACTCGCACTCGAGTACTTCCCCACTTCGCCACTCAACTTGTCACAACAAGATTACACGAGCGATAGAAGTCGTTGACGCAGAAAAGCGGCATCCTAATAATTATGGTCGAGCATACTCGGAGGCAGCCCACAGTGGGACCAACCTTAGGGATAAGTTGGACATGAGATTTTTTATGAAAACTGCGCATTTTGATGATACTTCTGAAGTACCTGTATGAGAAGCACTGCCGTGCTAAGGAAGAACGCCGTATGAACCTCCAGGTGTTGCAAAATTTCCTCCAATAAAATACGAATTTATCGGTGACATTGTAAATATTTTTCTTTCAATTTTTAAGACTATTTTGTTCGCAATTTAATCCAAAATATCTGAAAATGTCAAGGAAAAATATGCTTAAATTTCGTCAAAAATACATGTTTTATCTGGGGAAATTTGGCAACTCTCGTATTTTCATACGGCGTTCTTCCTTAACACGGCAGAGGTGGCATGGCGTGCTTTGCTATATATCGATTGATCTGTCATTTAAACCTATGGAAAAAGATCGATAGACAGGGTGTTCGCGGCGAACACCTTAATAATCGACTCTTTACCACAGCTTCAAATAGGAATATATTGATAATCGATCATTCACGCCTCACCACTGATGAGGAGAGTACGGATAGGTCGAAACTTGAAAACCATTCTGAGCATCGCAAGAGTCAAACTGTCGTGCTAAGGGAGAACGCCGTACGGACATTTGAAAGTTGCAACATTTTTCTAGAGAAAACATGTATTTTTTAGAAAAGTTATGAACTTTTTTTCTTGAAATTTCCTGATATTCTAGATTATATTGCGAGAAAACAAGTCTGAAAAATAGGAAAAATATATACAATTTTCCCACTGAATTCGCTTTTTATCGAAAGAAATATGGCAACGTCTGAGGCGTCATTCGGCTTTTTTCCTTACGACGGTGTTATAGGATTCCCTGTCTCCGTTAAAGTAATTTCACACTTACAACTTTGTCACGTACCCTGTTCAAAATCTTATTATCACTCTCATCCCTCATTTCTCAGTCGAAGGAACATAGTTCCATTCCTAGAACACATAAATTGAGTGGCTTGGAGGACAAGGCGCAGAAGTGCATTCTTTTGAAACAATTGACCCTAGTAGAAATTGGCAGTAGAATCTGCGTTCCAAAATACCATAGACCTACAGCCGGCTATAAAATTTCCAATAGCTTCTATAGCCGGCTACACAATTTCTTGTTGCCTTTTACAGCCGATGGCGACTAAGCAACAGCCAGGCGATAAAGTGTGTGCTAAACGTTACTAATTACGGATGCTAGGACTTGGTGAATTTTTGGACTACTGCTCTCTTTTTGGGTCGTAGTAGCTTGATTTATT